CTGAGGTACCTGTGTAGTGCCTAATACAGAAGTTATAAGGGTCTGCCCTTCAAAGATGCATACCTAAATGGCAATAAGGACAGGGGCTGTGAGTATGCATAGGGATTGTCTTGACTCACTATAGTTACAAGTACCACCTCAGGCCTTGTGCTGTGTTGATTAGATGCTGTGGTGTCTAGGCAAACTGCATGGGTAAAGCAAGTTTTCAACTGTCCAGAATATATTGCACAGAAATATGTTTTATATCTTTTTTTTTTTTTTTTCTTCTGAAAAGAAGCACTAAATTAATCTTATGATCAACTTATTTGTGTCTGAGAGATATTTTGAAGATTAAAGACACTATGCTATAGAAATGCTGCTATTATGGTGTTGTCAGCTATTGATCAGTAGTTTAACTCCTTAGTTAGGTCTGGTTTCAAATAAAAGAAAGGACCTTGTTTTGAATGCAAAAAGAGGATATGCAAGAACAGCAGTTAGTTTCCAGTTCAGACAAGCACATTGATAACTGAGGAAGGGTCTTCACACAACAAGCATTAGCTTTTTTTCATTATTACTCTTTTTCTTGTGGAAAACATGAGCAAAGGCTAAGCCTGTAAGATCTTAGCAAGGAATTTAATGAAAACATTAAAAAATTTCAGGAAAAGTTTTCAGATGCTATCTGTAGTGAAAAATATCGATGACAACCAAACAGTTTTCCATAGGTGAAAGAATGTATATTTGTAAATGAGGGGAAAAAATGTTGAAATTATGATTAGTAACCAGCAACTAATTATGATTAGTTCCCAGCTCACATAGAGGCCAAGACCAAATGTCATCCCTGTAAAAATAAAAATGAATGTTTGCACTAAAATACAGAATTAATATGACTCAAGTGACAATTTCATATCCTATTCCAGAGTTTACACTTTTAAAAGGATATTGATAAATGGCGAGGGTTGAGAAAAGCCTTGTAAGGATGAATCATAGTCTGGAAAGCCTGCCTCGTAGTAAGAGACTAACAAAACAGAATCTAATTATCTCAACAATAAGAAGGTTAGAAGGTTGACTAATCATGATCTGTACAGTATGTAAGTTAAAAAAAGAAGTTAATACTAAAAGGCTCTTTAATTTAATAGACAAAGCCAAACTGAAGTTCAATTTTGTATGACTACAAAATCAGGAACATGATTTTGACAGGGAGAGTAATTATGTATTAGTAAAATTTACTCAGATGTAGTAGAATATGCAAACATAAAATATTTACCTTTGTTTTTAAAGAGAAGCTCATGTACTTTAGTTCAACAGTAACGAGGTGGCTTTATGGTGAAACAAACCAAACCAAAGCCAACCAAAACAACAACAACAAAAAAAAACAAACTGATGAAGACAGGCTAAATGATATGAAAGATCTCTGTAGATAACTATAATGGTCTCTTCTAGCTTTGACTTTACACAAAGAAGTCTAGAGCCCAGCAACTGCTTCCACTCTTTCAGGAGTGAAACATTGGCGTCATTAAAGTCACTGTCTGTACCCCTCTCATGAAGTTCAAGGTTGCATTTCATAAGTTGTATAGCTACAAATTCTCGTATTTTGCTTTCTAAAAAAAGACCTAAATGAGTGAAGTGATATTTCTGTGCTATTATCTATGTCTACAATATTTTGGGTTTAGAACTTTATCAGAAGGAGAAAACTAGAAGTTTTAGTAAAAAATGCTAAGTAGAATGCAATTAGAATGTAACTAAAAAGTCAGGCAGGTACCACGAGAAACACTGTATCTTTGGGAAGCTCTAGCAAGTATTAGTTCTCACAATGTATCATTCTGAAATTACTGCATTGGTCATGCAGGTGTGACTCTACAATGTATTTCAGATTTATCTGGCATGTAGCACAAACAGCAGTCCAGTGAGCATTTCATTTTACTGTAACTGAAAGACTTTGAATTTGAAAATATATGTGATTTTTCTGATTGGTATTTTTGTTAATCTGTGTAATTTTCTGTGAAAATAGTTACAGATCAACTTTTTCTTTTCTCAGCAAACCATAAGAAGATAAGCCACATAGGAATTCTTGATATTTAGTAAACAGCATTTTTGGGCTACTCAACTAGGAAACATTCAGTATTTCCCTTAAATCTTAATTTTCTACATGTTCATTTCAAAATCATCTCTGGATTTTTCCCATTTACTTGGTGGACCCAGTGGACTCCTATTTTCTTCTAATTACTTTCTGTTCTGCAGTTTGGCATTAATTTCTTCTGCAGTTCTCAACTTGAAGCCTTATGAAGGAGTATGATTATTATGTATTATCACACCTGTATCCAGCAAGTGAGCTCAATGAGTGATCTGAGTAGGAGATTCATCGTGGATTTCAGTCCACTGAAGATAAGCCTTTTGCACCATGAAGCTAGAGTAATATCCCATTTTAACTATGTAAAGTGTATTAGGATCATACTGGCTTGCCCTTGCATAAAAGGAAATGAAAGTCTATTGGCATTGTGAATATTTGAGTAAGAAGACCAAGCAGACAATAGGGAGGGGTAAAGAGTTATACAATTTTAGAAAGCCCTTCTTGTCCTGCTTCAAGTTAGCATTTTGAATATGAATTGTTTGGAATGAATAACTAACCAAACAAACAACATTTGAGGCTTTTTTTTTTCCCTTCCCTTCCCTTCCCTTCCCTTCCCTTCCCTTCCCTTCCCTGTTATGCTTTCTTACTATTACTTCGAGCATCAGTATGCAACACACTATAACTGATTTAGAAATGAACTTGTGGAAATTTTACAGTGATTGGATACGGGAGACCAACTCATGCCTCAGTATGACTGACACAAAAAGAGGTTGCATGGGATGGAACCCAGCAGAGTTTGGCCTGTCTTCAGTCAGACTGTCATGTACTGTGATTTCTTTAGATTTCACTGTTTACAAGTAGAGTCAAGTTGGGTTAATACCAGAATACAATGCCTCCTTGTAAGAAGTGCTGATGTTACTTAGCAAGTGGCATTCTTCTCTCTGAATGATTGCTCCTGGACTCCTGCTTGCTGTTATAAATATGCAATGGATTGCTGCAGATACCCTCCCAAATAAGCCAGAGGTTCCACTGGTATATTTAGATTTCTGAAAGTTCTAAGAGGAGAAAAGTGCATTCCACTGTTCTGACCAAACACCTTTTGCTTAAATCCTTTCATCATATACTTGTGTAGAGTCTATGTAAAGTTGAGCTTTGCTGCTGTATCTGAGAATATTTGGGTCATCGTTGCAAACATTATTTGCAAACATTAGATATGATCCTTTGGTAACCTGTAATAAATTGCCTCCTGATATTACAACACAGGTGGGAGATCATTATTCAGATTTACTAGTACATACTTTAATATCCTCCAAATCTATCTTGTAAAATACATGCCACACTCATCAAAATAAAGACTGTCCTGCAGAATTTGGGACAGATGGCAGTGCAAGATGACATCTTTTCTAAATGTGTCAAAATGTTCACTTAGTCAAGCAATATGATCAGTTGCACATTCCGGGTACATTATTAAAATAACAAAAGCAGTAAAATCCACTTGCATGAACACCTGCTGCTAGAGTCACTTAAAATAACTAAGGCAAAACATATAATTAAGTAATATAAAAATAATTATTTCACTGAAAAATAAGTTAACAGCTTGATGTAGCTATTGGATTGCTTCAATGAATTACACCTGTACTTAGATGTACAACATCCAAAACCAAAGCATGCCTTCCGAAGTGATACTGAAGGAAGTATCCTTCATACCATACAACAGAACACTATATAAGAACAGACACACAACAGGCCTACTGTTGTCTGCTAGATGGTATCTTTAAATCAGATAGTATATATTCCTTTACCACTTGACACAGGAGAGCATAGAAGTGATTGATAAGCCTAATATCACAGCCAGAATTCAGATTTGAGAAAACAAAGCACTATCTTCTCTCTTCTGAGGATTGGAGATGGTAGTAGAAAAAAAGCATCTAGAAAAGAAGAGCTGCTGATTTTTTTTTCTTTTTTTTTTTTTCAGCATTTGAAAATGTCAAAGACTCAGCTTATAAACTCCAACCTAAGCCTTGTGGCAGGAAGTTTCATTAAGGCATGAATATGACCTTTGTTTCAAATTATGGAACAATCTTCAAGACCCCTTTATTTTGTTCTCTGCTTTGTTCTTGGAGAACTCAGCCAATCCTCACCTGGTCTCAGCACAGTGTCTCGCACTCTGGGTAATGTTAAGTGCTGTTATTAGGCTGATCAAAGGAACACGCTGTGGAGTGAAACAAGGCATATCTGTTGGAGGCCTGAGCACATATTTGCTACACCACCCTCAGTCCAAAATTATACACAGGAAGTGAACTAGAGACCCTGTGTTGTAGTACTTAGCAATAACCACAGGGCCCCTTCTTCAGCCCTTACACTTGACCTTCACAACAGTGGTTAGCTAACGAAAATACAGACATTAAATAACCGGTCTGCTTATGAAGAAAAAAAAAAAAAATTCTGTTTAAAACGAGTGGGCACTGGGCGAGTGTCAACTTCGCTATTTTTGTATGGAAGGAAGGGGAACAGGAACAAAATGCTTGGGTGGATGATGTGCAGTTACAGTGTTAGCTCCGTGTAATTGCATATGGGTGAATACAGCAACAACAGGCTGGTACTGTGGAAACCGCAGCTTTAAAGCGCTAACAAAGACCGCACTTGCCGTATGCCATCGCGTATATACGCTCTGCAGTCTGAACTGCGCGACGCCTCCCGACCCCGCCACGCAGGAACACACGCACGTTTACTCCTCCGTGTGCCCACCTGTTCAGCCCCACAGGCCCCGGCCGGGCTCCGCCACCGCCGCTTCGCGCGGGGATGCGACGGCTCCTCGCATAGAGGCTGTGGATGGAGATAGGGCTTCTGTAGCGATGGGGCTGACTGCGGCCAGCTATTGGCTGCCGGCTTTGTAAATTTCATTCAGTTTGGTCCAATAGCAGGAGGAGAGC